GACGGTTGCCCAGGGAAATGGTCCCACGCTGTTGCCTCTGATACAGAGGCAGCGGCGTGGAGTGGCAGGAGGCTCCTCGGGAGCGGGGCTGGAGCACACTGGCTGCCAGCCCCAACCCTGGGGACTACAGCTTTGTTGAGTAACCGATAAGAATTTGTGCAGTTACTCGACGATTCAATTACCAGCTCTCTCCCCTCTTTAGTCCAGACACGAATGGGTTGAAGAGGTAAAACAATTAACAGAGATCCCACCCATCCCCCTGCAGGGACGCAAGATCTGGGGCAGAGATCACCGCCTTAATTGCCCTTGCAAGAACTCTTATCCCCAGCAGGGGTGAATTCTGGGAACAGCCGCAGAACTTCTACCACCCCCCATTGCCAGATCGCTCCGGGGACAGGAGACAGGGAACGCCTTGGAAGCTGTCCAGGCCCAGTGATTCAAATGCCCCAAAGTCCCTTCCCGCAGTAAAGCTGCTGGATTCACAGTTCCCACTGCTGGTGCGAGAGTCCATTATGGGTGAGCAGCCAGAAGTAGATTGGTTACGAGTGCGATCCAGCCCTTCATCGCAGGCCCAACTCAAAAACTGCTCCCCAATGGGGCTTCAGTGGGACTAACCTGATGCAGAACCGTTGGTGCTGGCCATCTACCCAGACACAGCCCTTAACACTGGGGGTCAGGGATGGGAGGCTTCTCCCAAGACGATCCCTTCACTAGTCAGGATTGGGCCCAAATGGACCAACATTCCTTTCAGTCCCTAATCTACAGAACCGCCAGCACAGACAGTCACCCTGCAAGATCGTGGGTGAACAGGGGGGTTCAAAGTGCTGGCGTGTTGAATGTGACATAAGGTCAGGCGTTGTGTTACTCCGTCTGAACGATGCCAGGGGACGCATGCCAAAACAAAAGAAGGGAATTCTCCTTTTGGTGGCAAGGCATAAATGGCTTTCACAAGAAGAAAAGAAGTTAAATGCCACGCGTCCAGGAGACGCCCAGTCCCGATGGAAGACCGTGGTTCTGCCTAGTACTTGGGAGCGTTTTCTGCTGCACAGTTCATTTGAGGACACACATTGCTCCTGCAATGGCATCCATGTAGCCTGAGGCTGCTCTAAATCCAGGCAGCTGACTGCTCAGTGAAAATATATTTGTTTGGGAATAATTCAGGTGCCTTTGCTGTTTGGTGCAAATTTCACCTCTGTTCCTGAGATTATTCCTATCGGGTGATGCACCCAGGCTCACAACCCATTGCCCCTTGAAAAAATATCCCCGCATGGATAAATACCAGTTCTACAGGAAACACACTGATTTTTCCAGCAGCTCGCACACCCCGTTGAGCACACACGGAGTTTATGCAGCGAGCTATTCAGCAACACAGCCCAAAGACTTCCAAGAGCTCCTTTCATTGCAAGCTTATTTACACCTGGCCACAATGAAGGATTGCTAAGCGCTTTGCAATGTGCACGTGCTGTACAAGATCTCATCGGCTTCTCACCGTGCAAAAGGAATCAGCATGGCATGCAGAGCCAAGCCTGCATACAATCCCAAAATTGCAACCGTTGTCGTTATCCAACCCTGCACTCACTACTCATCCTGATACAAACACTTCCTGTGATCAAGCGATGCATCATATTAATTGCATTGCAAAGTTCCCGTGTTGCACAGATGCAAACAGTGATAGCAAAACGTTGGCAGATTGAATTCTAAATGCGCTCCCTGCCCTGTAACGTTTGCCTGCCAATGTTTCACCCAAAGTGCTCTCTGGAAGAATTATTACTACTGGAACATTTAAGGGACAGCTGCTTAAGAAAAAGCAAATGCTGCGAACATTCAATGACATGCCTCAGATACATAGCATCCTGCAGAAAGCCAGTCTTGCACTAAAATAGAGGTTATTCAGCTCTTGGCTGAAGCATGCATGTCCCCAAACAAGCATGTTAAACATAAAGTTTGGGGAGTCATGCATCTCTGGGAAATATTTTTGATTGCGTACAGATTTTAAATGGCTGATTGCAAATGCATCTAAGCCTGGCATTTTGAAGCAGCTTTTCAGGAATACAAATCAGGCCGACTGGCAGCCCAATACACAAGAAAATAAAAACCCCAACTTACCTTGGGATCAGCCAGGAGTGCTCAGGCTTCAGAAATCTCCCGCAGAAGAGTTGACAGAGTTTTGCCTTATTACTCATAGAGATTGTTATATAACTGGCACCATTTCTGTAGGCAATGAGTATGTACCAATTGCACTTCCACTCAGAGATAATTCTCATTTCCCATCCCACACAGACAGATCTGAGAGCGACAACCACTCAATGGAAAAGGGGGAGGGGCAAAGTGGGCTTTTTTTCACGCTCCTTAGGAGGGAGGTTAATAGTATCACAGAAAGTTCAAAAGGTCCCTGAAATTTGGTGAGAGATATTACCACTATGAGAGCACGTAGTGCAGTAGTCTAGTGTTCCTTAGCTTGCTGAAAGCAGCTTGGCCTAGATTCTGCTCCACTGTTTGATAAGTGACCATTCATGCAAACAGGAGTAAGAAAGTGTCTCTTTGCTTTTAATTAAGCAATTCACTCTGAAATACATGACGCATGCAAACGGCCTTTTCATTAGCATCGAAAGGATCATTAGACTAAAATCACACTGGGGCAGGGATCCATCAGATTGGGTAAAATGGATAGACAGGAGTTAATGAGCGAGAGAAAAAGCCTGTATTTTTGGCTAAGCAAAGGAAAAAGGATCGTTCCTCTGAAGATGCAGTTGTCTCTTTAATATTTCAGGACAGCAAAGAGAAATGCAGACTCCATTCGCTTTCTGCAGAGTGGAGGGAGGAGAAACATTAAGTTAATAGAATTTTATTTTTTCACACAGTCCTTTGACATCAATGGTAAAATCTCCAGCGGATTTCAATGAAAGCAAGATCAGGGCCCGTATACAGCTATACCATAAGAGATATACTGTCAGATCAGAAAGTTATTGATACGGAGGTGTCATTGTCATAGCCAGCTTTCAGTATGCTTCCATATAGATCACAGAGCCTTGGACACACATAAAACTCTTATGTAAGTCATAATCCTGTCACAGACTCCTTATTCAGGGAGTATAAGAGGGACGCCACAGAACCCTGCTGGCTCTGTAATGGGTTTTGGCCTCTTTGGAAATTGTGAGATTCCAGATGAAGTGTAATCCTCTTACTGACACCTGTAGTTATCTTTCTAAATATGCTGCTACCTCGCAGGGCTCCAAAGTACAAGGTGTAAGTGTATGCTAATATTTGGATTCCTCCCATAACTGACTCTGTTGCTTTCTGCACTGATTGAGTCATTAGAATTAGTCTCCTGTGGTGTTCACTGAGGCTAACAATATAATCAAGTTAAATTTACCCTACAAGATCAGCATTTAATTAGGTACTGTTATACAATGCATATTAACTACAATGTTAATACTTTCATGAAAGGAAGATTTTTACCCCCCACCCCCTTGTTTATTTTTGGGCTTCTCAAAGGAAACTAAACTTATACATTTTCAGGAAAGAAACATATAGCTGAGGCTATGTCTAGAGTACTATGGGGGTTTTCTGGGATACCAGAGGTATCCCGGAAAAACTCTACTGTGTCCAGGGAATGCATCTGCTCTTCCATTTTTTTCTGTGGAAGAGAAGATGTGCTCTTTCGGCAGCCCTGTCTTCCTCCTTCCACAAGGAAGAAGGGCTCTTCTGAAAGAAGAGGTTTTTCCAAAATTTGGCCCAGTGTAGATGGGCCAAATTTTGGGAAAGCGTCTTCAGCCAAAACTATCGGAAAAAGGTACGCAAATTGTGGAGTGTAATTTGCGTACCTTTTTCTGATAAAACATTGTAGTCTAGACATAGCCTAAGTTAAAAACTTGGGTGCAGGTGTATGTATTTACTGATTTGCCCAGCACACGATCAAGATAAAACAAAAGCAAAATAAATAAATAATAAAATAAAATTAAATTAAAATCAACAAATGTAAGCCTAGAAGAAAGGATTCTATCAAACAAATCCAGGGTGTGTAATCACTTCATGGCTATATGGAGACAGATTGGTATTGCTTAAATCTTGTAGGACCATAAAGATGATGATTTAAAGGGTACGAAACTGTAGCTAGGTAGGCACGTGCTTCTCAATTTAGAGCTTGAAATACTATTCTGAAGAGAAAAACTTAAAAAACAACAAATGGTTTGGTAGCACCTTAAAGCCTAACACCACATGTAGATGGTATCATGAGCTTTTGTGGGCACAACCCACTTCTTCAGATGAATGGAACGAGATGTTTCAGAAAAAGTAATTGTGCCTCCATATTAACTCAGAAATGCCAAGCCCAAACATTTTGGAAATCATGGGTTAAGACCGCAAAAGAAATAAAAAATCACAAGCTTTTGAAAAGCCAACGATCTTGGGGTTCTTTTTAATTTGCTCTCCAGCTCTTGAGCCTTAGATCGAAGACCCATTTTCAAACTGTTCTTAGCAGCCTCGAGAGCTACAAAACTTACCTTTTCCCTGAACAAAATCCAAGATTCTCAGGTAATTCTATAACTCTAGGAGCTAGAACTTTAGGTATCAGCTAGTTGAGACTTGCAATAAATCACAAGCGTTAGCAGTGCCAAATTGTATGATTTTTGTGTTCATGCTAGTTTAAAATAAGCCAGTTTATTACTCCCTACATTTTGTGTCAGTTTGGGCATCAATTAAAGTTTCCTTTTCATGCTTCAGGGGCTAAGAAGTCAGAATCCGGTTGTGACTGGAGAACCCCTCATCACCAATTCCCAAAAAGGTCCACTGTTGTGAAACAACAACATCTAATAGACCAAATGAACTCAGTACATCTAGCACACTGCTTTCATGGTATTTATCCGGAAATGTGAGGTTTCCAATTGAAAGCTCATATCAGACCAAGCCTCTTAAAGACAGCGAGATACATGTCTGCATGATCTTTAAGGAGTGATTTCTATGGTACTGAACATGTGTTTTCAAAGCTGTCACCAGCCCAAACAGAAAAACAGGTCTCTTCCAGACAGGAGGTAAGATGAACATCTTTCTGTCAAATGTTAAGTGCTGTAAGCTAAATACAATGGAAGCCCCATTTAGAAACTGAGTCAACAGGAAAGGCAGGAATAGTTGGTGCAGCTGAGGCTGGGGGGGAGGGGCTCTGTGAGGCCCCGCCCCCATGGGGAGGAGGCGGGGCAGCGCGCTGAGCACCTGCCACCCTCCATGGGGAGGGGAAGAGACAGGAGGGGAGAGCATGCGCACATCCCCCAGCCTTCCTGGAGCAGCGGGGGAGAGAGGAGGGCATGTGGCATGGCCATAGCACCAGGGAGGGAGAAGGCCACATGGCTTCAGCCACCCCAGACTGGAGCATGGGGAAGGTGGGTACTGGGAGCAGTAACACTCCACCCCCACGACGCCTACAGCAGGCATTCTGGGGGGCGGAGTGTGGGCGGGACCATGCCTGGCAGTTTGGGAAGGCAAAGTCTCCCCCTGCCTAGGCTACTGGGGCACCTAGGAGAAAAGGAGCACATGGGGGTGGGGAGAAAAGTGATGGGGAATCTCCAAAGACAATGAAATTTAGGGAGGTAAATAGAAGGCAAGAAAACAACCCTGAATCCTCCACCTAGGAGGTAAATGCAGAGCGTGTTCCCATTCAGGAAAACAGGATCTCAACCAACCGTGGGGTTTAAATGAGAGACATTTAACTTCCTTAGAGAGGAGCTTAGCCTGTTCGAGTTCAGTTTAGCCTCTAGGAAGCACGTTACGATTTTATTTCATATGTAACCCTGCTGTTTCCATTATCCTTCCTCGGTAGTTCTTATATCTTGAGCTTTCATCACAAATGGGGAATTGGTTTTTTCTATCCATATATCTCTGAGCTGGGTCATCACATTGGAGCACTGAGGTGGGTCCAATTGTACGCGTGGGGTCTAAACACAGCAGTGGTGTGGTTCCTGCTCTGATTGGAGCCAGGCTTTTCAATGCCCTCTCCCCAGCTGGGTTTCAGAATCAGAGCAGACACATGGACACTGCTGTCTTTAGTCCTGTGGCATGAGGCTGACTCAGTTGTCCTGGCCTCTGTGGTTTTGCTGCTGCAAGGATTTCATATTTATTTATTTATTGATGTCGTCTAAACACAGCAGTGGTGTGGTTCCTGCTCTGATTGGAGCCAGGCTTTTCAATGCCCTCTCCCCAGCTGGGTTTCAGAATCAGAGCAGACACATGGACACTGCTGTCTTTAGTCCTGTGGCATGAGGCTGACTCAGTTGTCCTGGCCTCTGTGGTTTTGCTGCTGCAAGGATTTCATATTTATTTATTTATTGATGTCAGTGGGGCCAGAATATCATTGTCTGCACAGAGATAAGATTGGGGCCTAGACATTGAACAGCCTCCTTAATTCCAGTTCTGAGCATCTCTACCTCCAAAGAGCTGGATCCTAGTGAGTTTGGCTAGCTGAGAATGTAAAGAATTTGCTGTTCTGATTAATGTGTCATTAAAACGTCCAGTTTTAATGGCTAAAAAAGGTTACAAAAACATCAACCTAATTAGGAGTCTGGATCCGCGATCGTATGAGAAGCGATGAATAAGGCTGGGGCGTTTCAGCTTGAAATAGACATGACTAAAGGGTGGGATATGATTGAGGTCTATAAAATCATGACTGGTTTGGAGAAAGTGAACAAAGAAGAGTTATTTACTACATCCAGTATTACAAGAGCTAGGGAATCCCCAAATGAAATTTGTAAGTGGCAGGTTTAAAAGAAACAAAAGGAATTACTTCTTCAAACAATGCAGAGTGTAACCCTTCTGCCAGGTAGCGCTGGCAGCACACAGGGCCGGGTTCAATATCTAGGGGTTCCTTTTCATCTATCTCCCACAGAATTGGCTCGAGCCCCCACCCAGCAGCCTGGGAAATTCACACACTTCTGGGTGCCTCTGAGAGGCAATGCTTCCCCACTCCCAAGCACAGAGTCTGAGCATAGAAAAAGAAACTTTTAATGAAAGAGGGAGAGAAGTCCATGGTATCAGCTTGGTAAAATATCACAGACGGCGTTCATAACCAACCCATGAGTAACAGTTCCAGCTCAAATGGATTGAGCAATGTCCTTTGCTTCTCATGCTCACCAGTCCAACAATGTAAGGGTCCCATTCACCTACCCAAACTTTCTCTATACCCCATTTCAAATGCCCCACTTACAGCTCTGTCCAGTCAGTGTGGACCCAGACACATCACCCTAATGACTTCACTCATTGGGCCTGAGGCAATACCACCTTTGTGCTGCTCCTGTGGTCCACTTGCTCCTGCCAGCCGCCCTGCTGGCCACCTGCTGCTGCTCCTACCGGCCGCCCAGAGTCAGTTTCCTTGTTCTGTTCATTCCCTCTGGGGCACCTGCCATTGGCCATTGTCAGAAGACAGGACGCTGGGCTAGATGGACACTCTGATGTTTGTTGTGCAGCTGATTGAATTTCTACAGGCTTTCAAATTTTAGGGAGAAAAAAACAATTCAGTGAACATTCTCATTAAAATTTGATTCTGTATTTTGATCCGTTCGAGTCTTTGGATGTAAAAGAAAAACAGACTCACTACCTGGGCCTATTCCACAGCAGACTGAGGTTGGACTAACATACATTTGAACTTGGCTTCCAGAACAAGTTGGTTACTGATTGGAATAATGCTCCGCCTAGACCCATTTTAACAGCATGCTCTACCTTCAAGGGTTTGACCAGGGCCATCTCTAGAGAGGTGCAGGCCTGGGGCAAACCCCCTAGTGGCCCAGACAATTACCCCTGCCACAGGCCCCATCCGCCTCTTCTCCAATCCAATCTCGCCCCCTTTCCTCCAAGCTCCACCCCTGCTTCCACCTTACCCCTTTGCCTCCTACCCTGAGCAAAACAACCTAGAGTTTTACCTGGGGGCCTAGCGTGGACGGCAGCAGGGATCCTGCTCCTGCACCCTCACACCAGCGGGGAGCCAGGGAGGCCCAGCAGCCTGCTGTGCTCCACCCTGTCTCCCTTTTCTAGCCCGCTGCTTCCTGCTTCTCTGCAGCAGCGGGAAGTAGAGTATCCTGGGGCCGGGGTGCTCTGTTTCCTGCTGTTGTGGAGAAGCCGAGCGCAGCGGGCCTGGAGAAGGCAGTGGGGCAGTGAGGAGCAGACTACCAGCCGCTCCGGCTCCTGCCTCCACGGTGCTGCTGTCCCACACCAGTCTCCCAAGTCATCTCCTGGAGCCCATCCATAGGACGACTGAGGTAGCTGCCACGGGGCCCCCCAAAGCATGGGACCTGAGGCTGCTGCCCTGAACCATCCTATGGACAGGACAGTTCTGGGTTTGACCCAGCTGCCATTAATGTTTGTGAAAACACCGCCATTCATTTCAGTGGGCATTGACTGACAAGGCCCCATATATACATGGCAGCTGCACGGAAGAGAGAATGGAGTTTAACGTGACACCTAGTTATGAGTCTAATTTAGCACTGGGAAATTTCCTAATGACTTATTCTATTAGGTTGCATCTACACTGTGCCCATAGGTCGACATACGATATGCAATTTGAGCTACGCAAATTGCGTATCTTATTTTGAAATAGCTTATTTTAAAATGTCCTTTAACCCTCGTGACACAAGGGTTCCAGGGACGTCAGAATAGCGAGCCCGTTATTTCAAAATCTATTTCAAAATAATGGGCTGTTTCAAAAGATGTGGAATAGCTATTTCACCTCCCGTATCCCAAAATAGCATCACTGTCTAGACATACCCTTACTGAAGATCACTATAGCCTATCTGGATTGTTCCAATGCGGCTCTTTGGATAGTCTTGTGGAACTTAAGTGTCTCACACCAACAGATGTTGGACCAATAAAAGACATTACCTCACTCACTTTGTCTCACTATTTTTATAAACACAATGGCAACTCCTACAGTAAGCTGCAGCTACAGATATTCATGACTTAGCAAAACAATAGTTTAAAACAGTGGTTCTCATTTGCAGACGCTGGAAAAGTGTCAAATGGGGCTGTGGATCCTGTTGGAAATCTATTGTGTATATATGTAGTTAAATTCTGTTCACTCAATTTTCAGTCAAAGTCTTTCATGGGCCCCAAAGGGTATGTCTACACACAATTTTTATTTCAGGAGAAGGATGCAAGTAGCGCTGCGTATTTGCCTACGTCCTCTGGTTTTTTTTTGGAAGATGCTCTTCCGGTATTTACCCGCATCTACACGTGGTTGAATTTTGAAATAAACCCCTATTTCAAAAGATCCCTTATTCCTCCTACAGTTAGATTTACAAAGGTCTTTCAAAATAGGGGTTTATTTCGAAATTTGGCCGCATGTAGGCGCGGGTAAATATTAGAAGAGTGTCTTCCAGAAAAAAAATGAAGGAAGTATGCAAATGTGCAGCGATATTTGCATCCTTCTCCCAAAATAAAAATTGTGTGTACACATACTGTTAGGCTGTGTCTACACTGGCATGAATTTCCGGAAATGCTTAAAACGGAATACTATTCCGTTTTCAGTTTTTCCGGAAAAGGAGCGTCTACATTGGCAGGCTGCTTTTCCGGAAAAGCCCTTTTTCCGGAAAAGCGTCTGCGGCCAATGTAGACGCACTTTCCCGGAAAAGAGACCCGATCGCCATTTTCGCAATCGGGGCTTTTTTCCGGAAAAGACTACTGGGCTGTCTACACAGGCCCTTTTCCGGAACAGTGTTCCGGAATAAGGACTTATGCCCGAGCGGGAGCAGAATAGTTTTTCCGGAACAGTGGCTGATTTTGTACAGGAGAGCATCGTTGCTTTTCCAGAAATTCAAGGGCCAGTGTAGACAGCTCGCAGCTTATTCCGGAAAAGCGGCTGAT